GTTCAAAGGCACTCAAATCACCTTTCTTCCCCATACTGATGCTCGGTTTGAACTGCAGGAGATTGTCTTGACCATGTCTACATGCCTAAATGCGCTGAGTTGCCGCCATGTGATTGGCTGATTAGAAATTAAGTGTTAACGAGCAGTTGGACAAGTGTACCTAATAAAGTGGCCGGTGAGTGTATATTCTATATTTTTGGTAGTAAATTCTCCTCACAGTAGGAGTTAAATTTGCCTCGTTGCTGCATTTTTTCCTGACTAAACATCCATGAAATTCAGCCACAGAGCCACGGGGTCAGCCACAGGTAAAACCAAATTTAACACTCCCCCTTGATGTTAATTTATGACCACCGGTCAACTTTATTTAGAGAAATTTGAAATGTTTCAACACATCTGTTTCCCTCTCTGCCATTATTCATGCTTTAGCAGCTTCCAGGACTCTGATTGGTGGATAATTTCTGTGAAGGTAAAGTTCACATGAGGATTTCAGCTCTTTGCCCGGCAACAGCTTCAAACATTTATGTTTTATAAATGAAGATTTTCATTGTCAATCTTCCGGGGCGCTCAGTTCTGCAGTCCTGCTTTTATCTWCTTCATTTTAAAACAGACACACTCCATGATTTGCAGCTGGTGTTAAAGGAAATAATATGTAAAGAGGTATTTGATAGAAATGTTTTTTTGGATGTGTACACACAGATTTATGCCCCCATGTTGTTTTTAACAGTTAAAAAAAACCTTCCTGACTTTCTTAATAATTTGAGCCATGTTTTAGTTTAATGGTTGTCTCTTTTATTCGAGCTGCTCTGTAAAAAAAGGTGCACAGGCGTCATAAAGTCACTTAGAAGCAGTTTTTTTTATGCTCATCAGACTCCTGCTGCTCTGCATGTTAATGTCTGAGCTTTCCTCTGGTAACGTTTTGTTTTAGATAAAATCACAAGTTYGTTCTGGGGATGCTGCGGATAATTCACTTTAATGCTCAAACTAAAAAATCCAAACCAACTTTAACAGCCAGTAATTGCGGCTGCAGCAGTTTTTGTGTGTTTTTGTCCTCTTTTCATTAGTTTGTGTGATATTCTCTAATGGCTTTCAATTATCCCTCTGCTGCAAACAGCAACAACAAACAGCTGTAAGTTTTAAATTAGAGCCACATTTCTAAAGTGTTGGTAACTTTTTAGTTCAACATGAGCAAATTTATTTGTTTCCTGCTTTATTTTTTTAAATGTCATTTTACCAAGGATGATTTAGCTGCAGCAGCTGCCCACTTTGATAAACTATGTTCAGTCTAAGCTTATTTTATTTAATTTTTTTTTACCTTGAACCAACCCCTCAGACTATAAATGTGCAGTGGTTTAAAAATGAGCATTAAAGCCTACAAAATTACACTAAAATCATGTGATTGTCTCAAGTATGACGGAAGTTATGGGTGTTAGTTTAGATGTAATCAAACTCGATTTCTGCCACTGAACCAATCAGGTAATCTACCTTTGTTMATTTCTTCCTTAATGTTCAAGATGTGTCCATAAAATGTTTGGAAAAGATACACATTCTGTTTTGGAAAGAAACATCTTATATCCTACACTCAAAAAAATAAAAAATAAACAGATGCAATGGGGTTAAATAAAAGAAATTCTGTCAAATGAATTAAATAAAGGTAAATTAAGTAGTTGGTTAAGTGCAACCAGTTGACATACATTTTTAAAATTAAATCCATTGTTTTTTTGAGTGTAAAAAATATAAAAATGATGAAACCCAATGTAAARGTAGCAGAAAAGATTTTAAAAAAAGTTACAAGGCTCATGTCAAACTGCAACATCAAATCATCTTGAGTCGTGGAAAGCCAAGACAAAAATAAAACCACGTGGAGATTTGTTTTGTAAACAAAGCTCCTCAACCAATGACAGTGTGTGAAAAGTGTCAGGTGACAAAGATGAGCGTCAACACACTTTGCTAAATGTTGCTATCCTGAAGCCAAAATAAAAACTAAACATACAACATAACGTTTCAGAACATAATCTTATTTGGAACAAAGGCAGATAAAATGTTTTTCACGTCAGCTCTCCTCTTTAAGGGGTCACCGGAAAACTTGAATTTCAGCCTATTTTCAATGAAGTGGCTCTTCAAAACACATTGAAAGAAGTGGGGAAAAACTCAAGTCAATAACTACGTGATGACAGCGCAGTTTATAATTCATAGAAAAAACAAAACGGGAACAAATAAGAAGCGAACGCTCGGAGCAGCGTTGCACTGTCTGGTCTCAGAAAGAAAATGGCTGCAGCTGCTGACAAAATGTCAGCGTCCCTGGTGTATGTTCGGTTCTGCAATTAAATTCTGCATTTACATGTTGGGCATCTTAATAAACTAATGTTTTATTTGCACAGAACAAGAATATTCCAGCTGTGGTGTCAAGATTCAGTAGGAGGCGGAGCTCCACGTGGCTGTCAATCAACAGATCCCTGGTCAGATGGGAGGAAGGAAAAAGCACAAGTAAGAATCACATCACAAAGCACAACCACAGAAAACAATATTTTAAATACATCTTTATCATTTAAGCTTTATAAAATAAGGGAGGGACGTTAAAACAATGGATCTAAAACAGCTKACTGTAATGTTCAGGTGGACAGGAAGTGGTTAAAGTTTGGTCACATGATAAATTYAAGGTTTTGTTTCATGTCGAACTCTGATTTAAACTGCACCATTTATTTATGTGCATCTTTACCACAAAATAAAAATGTTGTCCAAGACCGCTGCAGTTTACTATCATAACTATAGTAGTAGTGCACAAAAAACATACTTTACTCCATTCATTAGTCTATTTTTTATTTTTTATTTTTTTGCGTGTGTGTTTCTGTTTGCAGCCAGCCTTGAACTAAKTCTTGGCTACTGTCGGTCATCTGCTGCTTGTTTCTGCTGCAGCTACAGTCCGTGGCACTTCATGAAAAGGACCTTCAGCTCCGAGGCGTGCGCTGCAGAAATGTGTAAGATAATTATCAGCTGCTGCCGCGCTTCAGGGCTTCTTCTCAGGTGGATTATTTGGCCTAGATTTATCTCCTGCCGTTCATGTTGTTGCAGATAACAAATTCCCTGCAGTGAGTTAAGTTGCTTTGTTGGGGGAGAGGCCATATGGAGGCTGCTGATGATGTTCCAGATAAAGAATTTCTATCTAATAGTTTATTGCTGTCTAATGTTGCACTTCTGCGTTGCGTAACAAACAAACCCCGCCTCATCTGCGTGAGCCGCATCCATGGAAGGAAAAACTCATCTGGTATTAGCTGCTAACAAGTTAATTTGTACAATGTCGTTAAATTCTAGAAAGGTTTTGCTTGATGCAACAGTAGTTTTGAGTTGTTTCAGGCTGGAGAACAGATAAATAGTGAGGACTTGTGTCTCAGGATTATTAGATTGGGAGATTTTTAGTGTGAATAAACAGGAAGCATGAGCTTCCGACCAGCGTCTGACAGTGACGGTGGAAAAGATGATGCAGTCCCCTCTGCTCTGCAGATGACGGAAGCAGATAATCTGTTGACCGCTCCTACAACGTGACTGTTTTTGAAATGCAGACTCTTAAGAAATTGCTGTATTTTTTTTCTTGCAAACTTGCAGCAACAGTTAAACAAACAGTTGAATCGATGAAACAAATTTAAAGCAGAATCTGAACATTTTAATTTGGAGTTTTTTTGGGAGATTGTTGCACCAAATGTTGATGCCTCCCTTCAGTTGTGAGTCAGCCGCTGTGATGTACAGCTAAATTTTTAGTGGAACATTTGTTTGAAGCAACGGCCAGGAGGAGGAGGAGGAACATGGGAATCGAAAACCTTGTTTTGCTGTTTTCCTGCATGCCTTTGCCAATAAGAAGTCTTCCAAACAATGAAACAATGAACGGGGTTAAGCTTTTTATTTGTGCTCCAATCAAGTCTGTCTGAAAGATGGCCAGGTTTAGTTTGTTACAGTCTCAGTTTAGTTGTTCATTTTTGTTTTCTTCATTCTAATGTGTTTTAGCATGATCTACATGGCCAATACCCACATGCACGGTTACTTTAAAGTTTTTGAGACATCTCAGAGATAAAGATCTGAAAGGTGCTGTGTTTACAGAGCTGTGAGTGTCTTGATGAGGCTTCTACAGGAAGGCCCCTTAAGAAGATGTTAAACTATAAAGAAAATCCACTGACATAAGKGTTTTGGACTGCCAACTGTTTGGACCCTGGTCAACTGGGAGCCTAAGTCTCATGAATTATGCATGGTGTCTGCTCTGAGGCGTGCAGCACTGTCTGTGCTGCCACTGCTCGTGCTGGCTGAGCTGCAGAGTTTGTCAGGAGCAGAGCTGGAGAGGACAGAGGAAGAGAGAGAAACTTACACAGGATGATAATAAACACACAATGTTCCTCGCATGAAAATGGAGATGTGAAAATGAGTCTCATCAGTTTATCTCGTAAATAATATATCAAACTCTTGTTATTGAGATCAGGATTTTTCTTCTGCATGTTTTTCTACCTGTAACCCATTCCATATTTTTGCTGCTATTTCAAACATGTTTACATCATAATGTTCAGCTCCTTCAGCACATTCCAGCTCTGACGTTTGGTTCTTCAGCTGTTTATACTTTTTGGGATATTTAGCTTTTTCTGCCATGTTTTTCTCAATGAAAATGAATGGAGCTGTTTTCAGCATCCTTARAATATTTATAAATCTTTAATACTTTTTGTTCTTGTTCAGCCTATCTCTTAACTTTGTGCTCATGTCAGCTTCCTTTAGCCTCTATTTTGCAGATTTTCGCTTTTTTCTGCTTTTTAGCTATCATTCTCACATTCTGTTATTCTGTTAATTTAAACTTATTTCAGCTTTTTTCTGATAATTTAAGTTTTCCATGCATCTTTTGCCTGCTTTTTGCTAATTTCAGCAATTTTTCAGCTAAGTTCACATTTTTTGTGATAATTTCAGCTTCTAACTGCTTAACTCAGCAAACATATTCTTCTTTTTTCAGCTACAATTTAGCTTTGTTGTACTATTTTTGACTGATTTAGCCACTTTAAAACAAATTGCAACTTTTTTGTATTACTTTTTCTGCTCATTTTAAATCAAAAAATAATTTCACTGTTTGCTAATTTAAACTCCTCTCTTTTAGCTTGTTTTAGCTAATTCTAGCTACTTTTAGCCTTGTTTGGCATGTTTAATTTACTTTTCTTCTAATTTAATCTGTTTCATGTTGAATTAAGTTTTTTCACGCATCAATTTGAATCATATTGAGATAAATTTTGCTGCTTTTTCAGCATTTTTTAGCATTAACCATTTACACTGTAATTTTTGCAGAAAATACAGTCCTTAGTTACATATCAATTTAGCAATTTGTCAAACTGGTTTCTGAGTTCAAACTCACTCAAAAACCAAGGATATAAGTTTCATAAAATCATTGACTAGTTTAGTTTAAGGTGATATTTCATCTGTATAAYATTTCTCTTGTGARSYKGG